TCTCTCTCTCTCTCTCTCTCTCTCTCTCTCTCTCATCTGTCAATATAATACTGTTTCGTCGGTTGTAATCAATTTCTCCATTAATTGATTAGTTTTTTTTAATGCAATAAGAGTACCGTTTAGTTATATTACAGTAGTTTCAAATTTATAATTATATTCGGGAATTTAAACAAAGCTAATTGTATACGTGTAGAATAGAGTGGATTATAAAATTATAAATGTGACAATTATGATCAATTAAAACAATAGCAACTCTATGGTTATTGACTTAAATTGGTAACATTATATGCACTGCATATTATGCAAAGAATTGCATTAAAAGTATAAATAAGACCCCAAATAGTCACTATAATAGTTGTGAAAAATATCTCAAATAAAATTAAAAACATAAATTAATAATTCTTTGCCTAAATTTGATTAACAAATTGCATCTTAAATAATTTCCCAAAACAATTTTAATAAAGTTAAAACCAAAACACGCTTTGATTTCTCGTTTCTTCGTTTTACATTTTATGTTTTACTAAAACTTCCTTTTGTTTCAATTCTATCAGATATTTCTGTTTTTAGATTAAAATTCACTCAAATTTACAAAATAGTTAAAATAGTTAAATATAGTTCAAATAAACTATCGGTAAACTGACCCCCAATACATGATCGGTTCACATCCCGAGTCTGGGGGTAATACTATTAACCGCTAAAATAGTTGTTATAGTTAAATGCAATTCCCTGGATATATGTTTCAATTTGATTTACAGCAGTCGAACGATACCTATTTTAGGGCTTAATAGTCGTATAAATGAGTGCAAAAACTATAAGAAATTAAAGACATACTCAACAAAAATAGATAACATTCGCAAAAAGTTGATTAAATAAGAAATCGTTTTTTCCCATTCAATGCACTCTTCAATATATAATACATGTATATTTGTAAATTGTGGTGAGATTTCAAATGATTTCATCATTAACTAACTGATGATTTAACATGTATTTTGAATCATACATTAAATAATATGTTATTCATAGAACTTTTAATGTGAAATATTTATTATTTAGTTATATTATATTACAGATTGAAATATATATGATTACACTCGCAATGTATTGTAATGAGAGTTTGAAATTATATATTTATAATTAACAATAACAGACTATTAGCTATAGATTTAATTTGAGTACAAAAATATTTTAATAGATATTATACTGTAATGTAGAGACGGGTTTATTCACATTACATTTTATAATACATTACATTTGGGAACACAAATGTCTTTAATTTTTATTATTAGACTTATAAAATAGCTTAACATAAATATAAGTCAAATGGAAATAATTTTCTACAATTAGAAAAGTTCGCTAATATTTAACAACTCATTAGCGATCGGTTTTGAGCTAATAATAGATAATGAAATCTATAAATTAAATGTTTATGTAATGCTATTCTTTGCAACTTATTTGGAGAATAAAACTTTTTATATGACTTGTAATCAAAGTTTTATGAATTACTCTATTATCGAGTATTAATATTATTTTTATCGCGACGGAGAGAGAGA